TATGCCTACCATTTTTTTGTAACACGTCAAGGTCCGTTGAGTAAACATACTGTATAAGGTTATCCAACTCCCTATGAACACTGTTGTTATGAACGTATCCCCTCCGCAAAGGCCCATAGACAAAGGCTTTGTTGTGACGTCATTGGAAGAATTGTCATTTCTGTTTTCATTTATATACGTAAACCAACAGAAACTCTTTATTTCTTGAGTTTAATAACACTTGTTTAATTTTTAAATAATTATTAACATAAATATTATTATTATATTATATTAAATTTATATTATATCATATTATGTGATATTTTTCCTCCAATGACGTCACGTTTCCCACCTCACCCCGCCAACGTCAAGTCGTTCGAGTTGGATAACCTTATAACCAATACTCAACGGACCTTGGTGTCTACCTACTGTTTTTGCTTGCATACATTTTGATAACTGTCTTCATTTTGATCTGTAGTGTTATTGTGTTCAGAAACAGTTATTTTTGCTATGGATTCTGCAGAGTTGGTTTATTAGCTGTTTATCCATAAATTGGTATCTCGTATCATCTGAAGTCATAAAATATCTCTTGTCAAGGACACACCCAACGGAAAAAAGGTTACATTTTAATTCTGGAATATAGAGCACATTTGAGAGAGTTGTTTCAAACAGTGTCTTACCATTTTCCTATTCTTTTAACTTCTAGCTTTTTAGTTTCTAGCATTTTCCTTATTTTTAATTCACTCATGTCTCACTCATGAAGGCATTTGTCACATCTTTTTCTGAGTCTAATTCTGAGTCTGTAAAAGCAGTTTTTTGCAATGCGGTTTGTCTTGGAGCAGATATAACACTGTCGTGGTGAATTATTCTTTTTTGACCGTACCTATTTGGTTGCTAAAGCAGTGGAGTTGTTTTCAAAGGATTTATTTTTAGATCTATTTTCTCTAACGACAGTTGTGAAGTAACTTCTTCCAAATTTTGTTTCTTCACTAGCACAGATTTCCCAAGCGGATCTAAAGTGTTTGAATTCGCCAGGGAGTGACATAAGAATTTTGGTCATTATGATTTTTTCTGAAAGTTCTTCGCCAGCGGTTTTTAATTTTGTTTTTATATCTTTTATTTTGAACAACATACATTTTTTATGCGTCTCAAGCCAGAATCGAGTATTTTTTGTGATTCCCCGATAGGTAAGAAAAATATCATGGCGCCATCTTTTAAAAAATAGCAGAATCAAATCAGCGACATTTTCGGGACTATTAAATTTGCTCGTTATAACCGGAAGTTCGTTATAACCGACTTACACTGTAGGTATATAAAAATCAAACTTTTTTGTAGGAGTATTTGGTTTTTTGGTTTTGGGACTTCTCCAAATCCCGTTCTATTTCATTTACGTTGGACATCCTTTCAGTAACAACTCTCGGGGTGTTCTTGAAGATGTAATTGATGCTTTTGTGCAAATTAATAACAACCCACTTTTACTTTTAGCAATTCTAGGTAATTAATTAATTATTTAATTAAAATTGGGCTAAATCCTTTTTGCATTAATAGGAACAATTTTGTCAATTGCCTTCTTTAACTTTGCTGGAATCAGTGTCACGAAAGAAATGTCAGCAACGCATCGAATGGTCCTCGATAGTGTTCGAACCATCGTTATATGGATGATTAGTTTATTTTTGTTCCATCAAAAGTTTCATTGGCTCCAGGTTAAAATAATTTTTTTTTTTTAACTTTATTTCTATTAAATTTTTTTAGTTGGTGGGTTTCGTATCTCTCTTAATTGGAATGTTTATTTACAACGGATTAACATTAACCATGGTTTATGTAAAAGCACGCTCGATATTGATTGGATTAAGATATTCGAGAGTCAATGGTGAGGATGTTAAGAACTTGGCTGCTGATGAACCAGGAGAGAGCAGTAATCCTTAACTTTGAGATCAAAGTTAAAGGATAAAGTTATTTTTTTATTTTGTAAATATTTAAAAGTAAAAGTAAGTAGAGGTAACGTTTAAAATTATTATAATTATAAAGAAAGTTAAGCATGTATTAAGAAAAATCTAAAAGTTGAATCTATTCCTAAAACTGACTGTTATCTTATTGAAATGGGTAAATAAATTTTTTGACAGTACTTAAAAAATTATTTTTTCCTAAACGATTAAGATTTAAGAAATAAAACTATTTGAGGTTGATATTACAATTTTTACTCTAATTCTTTTTACCAACTACTCTAAAATTTTTACACGACACGATTTTTTCCTGTATATATTTAATAATTTCTTTAATAATTTTTTTCTGGAAATTTCAATAATATTACCTAATAGTTTTTATATCATATCATAAACCACCATCTTTAAGCTTCAATTTAACACACATATATCATAATTTTTATAAACACAGTTGATATGATTTTTTGAACACTTCGTATCATTTGTAATTCATAAATTTAACAATTTCTTTAATAATTTTTTTTTGAAAATTTCAATAATATTACCTAATAGTTTTCATATCACATCATGATGTGATATGATAATAATTATTTTCTAGAAATTTCAATTATATTACTTAATAGTGTATATATCACATCATAAACTGTGTTCTTTAAGCTTCAATTTAACACACTTATCATATCATAATTTTTATAAACACACATGATATGATTATTTGAACACTTCGTATCATTTTTAGTTTATAAATTTAACAATTTCATTAATAACGTTTTCCTGGAAATTTCAATAATATTACCTAATAGTTTTTATATCATGTAATGTTTAAACTCTTCTTTTCATTCTCTGTATGATTACTTTATGGGTTTGGAGCGTAATTTATTTAAAATAACTTATTTCTTTACTTTCTTTATTTAACCTTACGATGACTACATTACAGTTCTAAGTTTAACTTACTTCTAATTACCAATATAAAATCAAACACAATTTATTTGTTGAATTGGCGAATATCGCACTCGTCGCACAAGTATGCCTACTCGTGCGTTTTTTGAGTTTATTGACAAATACTTTATTTTCCATTACAATCGTACCATAAACTATACTCTGTTTTTAAACCAGGAGTATTTTAAATTTGTCACCAGATTGACCTTGCACGTGCTTTGTTGAACGCGAGGAAAGTTCACACACATGCAATTTTGAATTTTGATTTTAAATTTGAAGGTTAGATTATTGATCGTTCGACCGTTTCGTGTCATTATTGTAAATTTTGTGTTCTTAAACCCTTCTTTATTATATTTTAAAATAAATACACTCATAACTTCAATGTTAGCTTGTATGTTTAGTGTTGACGATAACAAATGAAAATAAATACAATAATAAGTAAATAAACAAATAATAATAATTATTAATTCAAATTTACCGCCAAAATATCTAGTGATATTTTCTGGTGATTTTTCCTAGTATAAATCTGACTTTCGTGTTTACTCCTCCTGGTTTAAAAACAGAGTATAGAATCTTTAAGTTTCAATTTAATACACATATGATATCATAACTTTTATAAACACAGTTGATATGATTTTTTGAACACTTCGTATTATTTTTAATTCATAAATTTAACAATTTCTTTAATAATTTTTTTTCTGGAGATTTCAATAATATTACTTAATAATTTTTATCTACGACTGCTTGGATAAGTCATCATTACCGCACTCATTTGAGATGATTTGAGTTACGTAATGAAGTTCATTACCGCACAGGTTTCATTACGTAACGCATTTTTAGCCTAATCAGAACAGACTTAATTTATTGAAACGAGCAACAATACAAAAGAAAAAGTGCTTTCTGCTTACAGAGAAACAATACTATTTATTATAAACATTAATTGTTATGTTTTTACATTTCAAAACACTTATTCCAGATGAGTAAACATGNTGCTGTAGAGGGTCTTCGCCGAAAACTCATTCCGGAGGGTTTACCAGGATACGTGCCAGATCTGGTGGAGTATTGCTTATCGTCGACGTATTTCAGCTGGAAAGGAGAATTTTACGAGCAGTTCGAAGGGGCAGCCATGGGATCTCCACTATCGCCAGTTATAGCTAATTTCTACATGGAATTATTCGAAGAGGACGCTTTGAAGAAGACCCAGTGGAAACCAAAGCTATGGCTCCGATATGTGGATGACACGTTTGTGATATGGCAACATGGTCAAAAACGGCTCCAAGAGTTCTTGGATCACTTGAACTCTCAACATCCTATGATTACGTTCACCATGGAAACAGAAACTGCCAAAATACTATTGTGCGACCAGTTGGATTTGGCCGGCGGAAAATATGCGAACTATTATCGGAAATACCTTACCCCTCACCTCCTTGACCTATATATTCGGCTGTAGTACAGTCAAGTTACCAAATAAAACAATATGTATTTCTGACATTTCATTTCTTTGACAGCGTTGCTTGAGTTAGGTTATAGTTTTGTGAGTTTATCGAGTTTATTTTCTATTATCGTTCTATTTCGTTTATCTATAACTGTTCTTATCAGATAGCCAATGATGAACTTGGTGAAAATAAGAGACCTGTTGTATATTTGGATGAAAGCTACGTACATAAAAATTATACTGTTTCGAAATGTTGGCAAGGTCCTGATGAACATGGAGTTTTGAAAAAAGATGGAGCTGTTCAACGATGGATAATTGCTCATTGTGGAGGCAGTATGGGTTTTATTAAGAACGGTTTCCAAAAAAAAAAGAAGCCTTTATTTTATAATCTAAAATGCAACACTCATAACCTCACATTCACAAATGTCAAACTTTTCAATTAAGCGGTACAAAATTTTTGTTCTGAGTGTACCTTTCAAAACGATCGCGATGCTTGACCGGCCATATTGGGTTGGTCGTTCTAGCTCCTTTAAGTTTCAATTTAACACACATATGATATCATAATTTTTATAAACACAGTTGATATGATTTTTTGAACAATTCGTATCATTTTTAATTCATAAATTTAACAATTTCTTTAATAATTTTTTTTTGGAAATTTCTATAATATTACCTAATAGTTTTTATATCACATCATAAACTTTAATCTTTAAGCTTCACTTTAACACATATATCATATCATAATTCCTATAGACACAGTCGATATGATTTTTTGAACATTTCGTATCATTTTTAATTCATAAATTTAACAATTTCTTTTTTAACAACTTCTTCCTGGAAATTTCAATAATATTACCTAATACTTCTTATATCACATCATAAATTGGCTTCTTTAAGCTTCAATTTAACACACTTATCATATCATAATTTTTATAAACACAGTCGATATAAATTTTTGAACATTTCGTATCATTTTTAATTCATAAATTTAACAATTTCTTTAATAATTTTTTTCTGGATATTTCAATAATATTACCTAATAGTTTTTATATCTCATCATAAACTTTAATCTTTAAGCTTCAATTTAACACACATATGACATCATAATTTTTATAAACACAATTGATATGATTTTTTGAACATTTCGTATCATTTTCAATTCATAAATTTAAAAATTTCTTTAATAGTTTTTTTCTGGAAATTTCAATAATATTACTTAATAATTTTTATATCACATCATAAACTTTAATCTTTAAGCTTCACTTTAACACATATATCATATCATAATTTCTATAAACACAGTCGATATAATTTTTTGAACATTTCGTATCATTTTTAATTCATAAATTTAACCATTTCTTTAATCATTTTTTTCTGGAAATTTCAATAATATTATCTAATAGTTTTTATATCATATCATAAACTAGAATCTTCAAGCTTCAATTTAACACACATATTATATCATAATTCCCATAAACAGAGTCTATATGATTTTTTGAACTTTTCGTATCATTTTTAATTCATAAATTTAACAATTCCTTTTTTAATTATTTTTATCTGGAAATTTCTATAATATTACCTAATAGTTTTTATATCATATCATAAACCACAACCTTTAAGCTTCAATTTAACACACACATCATATCATAATTCTTATAAACACAGTTGATATGATTTTTTGAACATTTCGTACCATTTTTAATTCATAAATTTAACAATTCCTTTTTTAATAATTTTTATCTGGAAATTTCTATAATATTACCTAATAGTTTTTATATCACATCATAAACTAGAATATTTAAGCTTCAATTTAACACACACATCACATCATAATTCCTAAAAACACGGCTGATATGATTTTTTAAACATATTTTTAAGTAATTTAACAGTTTCTTCTTTAATTATTCCTTCCTCGAAAAACCAATATTTTTAATTTATTTAAACCATTAAGAATAACATTTATGTAAAATCAATTCTCATCAATGCATTTTTCATCATGTTTTCTTAACCCGGTCGTTACATCGCCCTCTAAAAATTCATATAAATTCTCTGACAACCCAACGAAGTTATTAGTCGATTACCTACTTTTACTTTTCATTCAAAATGTACACTCGGGTTTTATCTCCTCGAAGCTAATTTTCGCAAGTACCAATGTTGGCCCACTTCGCAGGGACTTAGAGGGTTTGGCCCAATAATTCTGATGTTAATTAACTTCTTTTGGGGATTTTACCCTTTAATGATCGAAATTAAAAGTAGGTAACAAATATATCAAGAAATTAACTTTTTAGATTCGATTTTCTTGTATTTTTCCAGACTACCAAATTAATTTTGGGACTTGTTTAGTTCACGCCGAGTTTATTTCGATGGGACTTCTCCTCATGCTTGTTAACTTGATATTATTGAAGAAACGTAACTCATTAAATGAAATGACTAATGTATTCAGTGATTTTACCGAATTTGGGGCACCCCAAAACAATTTGTTTTTTGAACGAAACTTGAAATTTATCATAAAATTATGTCACTATGGGGGGTTTCTTTTCGCGCATGTTGTTACTGCTATATTTATTATGTTGAGGGATAACAAGCTTTCTTTTGTAATGCCATATTACACTCGCAACGATTTTAATCGGTGGGAAATAATGTTGATTATGTTATTTCAAATATACACCGTTAAAGTTACGCTGAATGTTTTGTTGTTGGTAATATTGCTTTATTGTTATTCGATGAACTTAATCGTGGTACGGATTAAACACCTCAACGAGATTATTGGCAAGATAAATTTGACAAGAAATAAGGAAAGAAATTTTAAAATTCTTCGCCCCATCGTTTTGTACCATCAACACATCTTCAAGATGTTTCACTTTGCCACTAAATTCTTCTCCATCTTCATGGTCCCAACAAAATTTTGCGTTCTCCTTTCCCTAACTTTATCTTCAATCGATATATCAATGGTTTGTTTGGTTCATCACTACATAATCTAATTAATTATTATTAAAATTTTAGCGAAACAATTTAATAAGCTTTTTCGTATTTATACCCAACTTTTTCGCATTGTTTATGCTCCACACATTTGGGCAAAAATTAACTTCAGCTGTACGTATAATTAATTCTTTTTATATATCTTATATATTATATTGAAGCACTCATTTTGTTTATAATAGGCTGAGAGTGTGGTGGATTCCGTTTATGATTTAAACTGGTATGAAGCCGATGTCTCAACTCAGAAAGATGTTTTAATTTTGCTATGTATGAGCCATAGAAAACTCGCGGTGGAGTTACCTTTGTTTGGGTCGGTTTCGCATGCGGCTGCAACAAATGTAAGATAATTATGATGATTTTTAATTAATTAGAAATGATTAATAAGAAATTGTTTTAAGGATTACAAGAACGTCTACATCTTCTTCAATTGGTTGTTGAAGATCACTGAGAAAGAGATATTTTGAAATTTGTTTAGTGGTGATGTAATCGCATTAAGAAAGCTAATAAATGTTGTATTAAAAGCTTGAAAAGTTTTAATTCTTAAATACGAAGCGATTTGGGGAAAACCATTTTTTTTTAATTTTAAATCATATTGGGCGTATCTTTAAGAATAAAAATATGATATGATATGTATGTTAAATTGAAGCTTAAATATTCTAAATTGTGATTTACTAAAAAAACTATGTATAACATAATATTATTGAAATTTCCAGAAAATAATTATTAAAGAAATTGTTAAACTTATGAATTATAAATAACACGAAAAGTTCAAGAAATCATATCGGCTGTGTTTATAAGAATTATGATATGATATGTATGTTAAATTGAAGCTTGAAGATTCTAGTTTATGATGTGATATAAAAACTATGACATAATATTATTGAAATTTCCTGGAAATAATTATTAAAGAAGAAATTATCAATTTATAAATCAAAAATAATACGAAATTTTCAAAATGTCATATCTATTGTATATTTAAGAATTATGATATGATATGTGTGTTAAATTGAAGCTTAAAGGAACTAGTTTATGATGTGATATAAAAACTATTAGGGAATATTATTGAAATTTCCAGAAAAAAATTATTAAAGAAATTGTTAAATTTATGAATTAAAAATGATACGAAATGTTCAAAAAATCATATCAACTGTGTTTATAAAAATTATGATATCATATGTNTTAAAAGTAGGTAACAAATATATCAAGAAATTAACTTTTTAGATTCGATTTTCTTGTATTTTTCCAGACTACCAAATTAATTTTGGGACTTGTTTAGTTCACGCCGAGTTTATTTCGATGGGACTTCTCCTCATGCTTGTTAACTTGATATTATTGAAGAAACGTAACTCATTAAGTGAAATGACTAATGTATTCAGTGATTTTACCGAATTTGGGGCACCCCAAAACAATTTGTTTTTCGAACGAAACTTGAAATTTATCATAAAATTATGTCACTATGGGGGGTTTCTTTTCGCGCATGTTGTTACTGCTATATTTATTATGTTGAGGGATAACAAGCTTTCTTTTGTAATGCCATATTACACTCGCAACGATTTGAATCGGTGGGAAATAATGTTGATTTTGTTATTTCATATATACTCCGTTAAAGTTACGCTGAATCTTTTGTTGCTTGTAATATTGTTGTATTGTTATTCGATGATCTTAATCGTGGTACGGATTAAACACCTCAACGAGATTATTGGTAAGATTAATTTGACAAGAAATAAGAAAAGAAACTTTAAAATTCTTCGCCCCATCGTTTTGTACCATCAACACATCTTCAAGATGTTTCAATTTGCCACCAAATTCTTCAACATCTTCATGGTCCCAACAAAATTTTGCGTTCTCCTTTCCCTAACGTTATCTTCAATCGATATTTCAATGGTTTGTTTGGTTCATCACCACATAATCTAATTAATTATTATTAAAATTTTAGCGAAACAATTTAATAAGCTTTTTCGTATTTATACCCAACTTTTTCGCATTATTTGTACTCCACACATTTGGACAAAAATTAAGTTCAGCTGTACGTATAATTAACTCTTTTTGTATATCTCATATTATATTGAAGCACTCATTTTGTTTATAATAGGCTGAGAGTGTGGTGGATTCCGTTTATGATTTAAACTGGTATGAAGCCGATGTCTCAACTAGAAAGGATATTTTAATTTTACTGTGTATGAGTCAAAGAAAACTCGCGGTGGAGTTACCTATGTTTGGGCAGATGTCGCACGCGGCTGCAACAAATGTAAGTTAATCATGGTGATTGTTATTAAGTAATTAGAAATTATTAATAAGAAATTATTTTAAGGATTACAAGAACGTCTACATATTCTTCAATTGGTTGTTGAAGATCACTCAGAAAAAGATATTTTGAGATATTTTATTTAGTGGTGATAAAAAATAAATGTCGTATTAAAAGTTGGGAAAGTTTAATTCCTAAATCCTAATCGATTTGGAGAAAACATTTATTTTTTAAAATAAAAATTTGATATGTACAGGTTTTTCTTTATTCACCTTTATTATTTTTTATTAGTACTCATTGATCATTGAATTATTAGGTAGAATTAAGTTTAAACGTGGTGAAAGAAGCAGCAAAGAATTTCGGGAAATCATCGTTTATCGGAACTTATAACACATTAACCATCCCCCAACGATATTGCACGATGATTACCACCGTTGTATCAATTTCAAAGTTGTATTTAGTGTTTGATTTACCCAGTTTTTGGATTTTAATCGCTTCAGTTACTGCAATGTACGTTTTTGAGGGCCGCGAAAAGACGTTTTGATTTTCTTGTGTATAAGCCAAAGAAGCTTCACCATCGAATTAAACCTCTTCGGGTCTTTGTCTTACCCCACGATGGCGAATGTAAGATTTCTTTAACGATTATTATTGATAATAATAATAGTAAAGTTGATTTTATTTGAAGGATTTCAAGAAAATCCACGGATATCTCAAAACAGTGCTAAAAATTGCGAAACCAAAAATGTAACACAATAGATTTAAAGAGTAATTGAGATATCTTCATGAAATACAAAGCATTTTGAAGCAAATTTAATCTAATTTTATTGTTAATAAAATAAATTTTTAATTTCCCTTAATTTAGTTAGAACGATTTTTTTCATTAAACCCTGCAAGTTAATCGGTTAATAATCAAAAATCAAATTTTATAAAATCATATCGCAAGAACTAAAAGAGATATCGAAATGAATTAAAAAGCTTTTTAAAGGAAATNATTAACCATCCCCCAACGATATTGCACGATGATTACCACCGTTGTATCAATTTCAAAGTTGTATTTAGTGTTTGATTTACCCAGTTTTTAGATTTTAATCGCTTCAGTTACTGCAATGTACGTTTTTGAGGGCCGCGAAAAGACGTTTTGATTTTCTTGTGTATAAGCCAAAGAAGCTTCACCATCGAATTAAACCTCTTCGGGTCTTTGTCTTACCCCACGATGGCGAATGTAAGATTTCTTTAACGATTATTATTGATAATAATAATAGTAAAGTTGATTTTATTTGAAGGATTTCAAGAAAATCCACGGATATCTCAAAACAGTGCTAAAAATTGCGAAACCAAAAATGTAACACAATAAATTTAAAGAGTAATTGAGATATCTTCATGAAATACGAAGCATTTTGAAGCAAATTTAATCTAATTCTATTGTTAATAAAATAAATTTTTAATTTCCCTTAATTTAGTTAGAACGATTTTTTTCATTAAACCCTGCAAGTTAATCGGTTAATAATCAAAAATCAAATTTTATAAAATCATATCGCAAGAACTAAAAGAGATATCGAAATGAATTAAAAAGCTTTTTAAAGGAAATTTAATACAGATATGGTGCGTCAAAAATTATTTCTTAATTTCCATAAACCTGGTTGTTACGATTTTTTAAATAACATTCTGCGTTTTCCATACTTACTGAGGTTATAGACAAAATTATGAAACTTTAAAAAATCGTATCTCAAAAACAAATGGAGATATCACGATGAAATAAGAAGAAGTTTAAAGCAAATTTAATCTAGTTTTAGTGTACCAGAGATAATTTCTTAGTTTCCATAAACCTGGTTGTTACGATTTTTTTAATAACACTCTGCTTATTTGATACTTATTGAGGTTATAGCGAAAATCAAGGAAATTTAAAAAATCGTATCTCAAAGACAAATAGAGATATCACGATGAAATAAGAAGGAGTTTAAAGCAAATTTAATCTAGTTTTAGTGTACCAAAGACAATTTCTTAGTTTCCATAAACCTGGTTGTTACGATTTTTTTAATAACACTCTGCTTATTTGATACTTATTGAGGTTATAGCGAAAATCAAGGAAATTTAAAAAATCGTATCTCAAAGACAAATAGAGATATCACGATGAAATAAGAAGGAGTTTAAAGCAAATTTAATCTAGTTTTAATGCACCAAAAATAGTTTCTTAGTTTCCATAAACCTGGTTGAAGCGATTTTTTTAATAACACTCTGCGTTTTCGATACTTACTGAGGTTATACAGAAAATTAAGAAACTTTAAAAAATCGTATCTCAAAGACAAATAGAGNTTAATGAAATACGAAGCATTTTGAAGCAAATTTAATCTAATTCTATTGTTAATAAAATAAATTTTTAATTTCCCTTAATTTAGTTAGAACGATTTTTTTCATTAAACCCTGCAAGTTAATCGGTTAATAATCAAAAATCAAATTTTATAAAATCATATCTCAAGAACTAAAAGAGATATCGAAATGCATTTAAAAGCTTTTTAAAGGAAATTTAATACAGATATGGTGCGTCAAAAATTATTTCTTAATTTCTATAAACCTGGTTGTTACGATTTTTTAAATAACATTCTGCGTTTTCGATACTTACTGAGGTTATAGACAAAATTAAGAAACTTTAAAAAATCGTATCTCAAAGACAAATAGAGATATCACGATGAAATAAGAAGAAGTTTAAAGCAAATTTAATCTAGTTTTAGTGTACCAAAGACAATTTCTTAGTTTCCATAAACCTGGTTGTTACGATTTTTTTAATAACATTCTGCTTATTTGATACTTATTGAGGTTATAGCGAAAATCAAGAAAATTTAAANGTGTTAAATGGAAGCTTAAAGATTCTAGATTATGATGTGATATAAAAACTGCTAGGTAATATCATTGAAATTTCCAGAAAAAAATTATTAAAGACATTGTTAAATTTATGAATTGAAAATTATTCGTAAAGTTCAAAAAATCATATCGGCTGTGTTTATAAGAATTATGATATGATATATGTGTTAAATTGAAGCTTATAGATTATAGTTTATGATGTGATGTAAAAACTATTAAGTAATATCATTGAAATTTACAGGAAAAAGTTATTAAAGAAATTGTTAAATTTATGAATTAAAAATGATACGAAATTTTCAAAAAATCATATCGACTGTGTTTATAAGAATTATGATATGATATGTGTGTTAAATTGAAGCTTAAAGATTCTAGATTATGATGTGATATAAAAACTACTAGNAATTTCTTAGTTTCCATAAACCTGGTTGTTACGATTTTTTTAATAACATTCTGCTTATTTGATACTTATTGAGGTTATAGCGAAAATCAAGAAAATTTAAAAAATCGTACCTCAAACACCAATAGAGATATCACGATGAAATAAGACGGAACTTAAAGGAAATTTAATCTAGTTTTAGTGCATTAAAGATAATTTCTTAGTTTCCATAAACCTGGTTGTTACGATTTTTTTAATAACACTCTGCGTATTTAATACTTATTTAGGTTATAGCGAACATGAAGAAAATTAAAAAAATCGTATCTCAAAGACAAATAGAGATATCACGATGAAACAAGAAGGAGTTTAAAGCAAATTTAATCTAGTTTTGGTGTACCAAAGATAATTTCTTAGCTTCCATAAACCTGGTTGTTACGATTTTTTTAATAACACTCTGCGTTTTCGATACTTACTAAGGTTATACAGAAAATTAAAAAACTTTAAAAACCCGTATCTCAAAGACAAATAGAGATATCATTATGAAACAAGAAGGAGTTTAAAGCAAATTTANGAAAAATTATTAAAGACATTGTTAAATTTAGGAATTAAAAATGATATGAAATGTTCAAAAAATCATGTTAACTGTATTTATAAGAATTATTAAATGATATACGTATTAAATTGAAGCTTAAAGATTCCAGTTTATGATGTGATATAAAAACCATTAGGTAATATTATTGAAAGTTCCAGAAAAAAATTATTAAAGAAATTGTTAGATTTATGAGTTAAAAATGATACGAAAAGTTCAAAAAATCATATCGATTGACTTTATAGGAATTACGATATGATATGTATGTTAAATTGAAGCTGATTGATTGTAGTTTATGATGTGATATAAAAAGTATTAAGTAGTATCATTGAAATTTACAGGAAAAGTTATTAAAGAAATTGTTAAATTTATGAATTAAAAATGATACGAAATTTTCAAAAAATCATATCGACTATGTTTATAAGAATTATGATATGATATGTGTGTTAAATTGAAGCTTAAAGATTCTAGATTATGATGTGATATAAAAACTACTAGGTAATATCATTGNGAAGGAGTTTAAAGCAAATTTAATCTAGTATTAGTGCACCAAAGATAATTTCTTAATTTCCATAAACCTGGTTGTAGCGATTTTTTTAATAACACTCTGCGTTTTCGATACTTACTGAGGTTATACAGAAAATTAAGAAACTTTAAAAAATCGTATCTCAAAGACAAATAGAGATATCACGATAAAATAAGAAGGAGTTTAAAACAAATTTAATCTAGTTTTGGTGTACCAAAGATAATTTCTTAGTTTCCATAAACCTGGTTGTTACCATTTTTTTAATAACACTCTGCGTATTTGATACTTATTTAGGTTATAGCGAAAATTAAGAAAATTAAAAAATCGTATCTCAAAGACAAATTGAGATATCACGATGAAATAAGAAGTAATTTAAAGCAAATTTAATCTAGTTTTGGTGTACCAAAGATAATTTCTTAGTTTCCATAAACCTGGTTGTTACTATTTTTTTAATAACACTCTGCGTATTTCATACTTATTTAGGTTATAGCGAAAATTAAGAAACTTTAAAAAATCGTATCTCAAAGACAAATAGAGATATCACGATGAAACAAGAAGGAGTTTAAAGCAAATTTAATCTAGTATTAGTGTACCAAAGATAATTTCTTAGTTTCCATAAACCTGGTTGTTACGATTTTTTTAATAACACTCTGCGTTTTCGATACTTACTGAGGTTATACAGAAAATTAAAAAACTTTAAAAACCCGTATCTCAAAGACAAATAGAGATATCATTATGAAACAAGAAGGAGTTTAAAGCAAATTTAATCTAGTATTAGTGTA